AAAGAGAGAAATCCATGGAGACAGATGTGTTCATACTGATCTTTCCTCCTTCCTGTTCATGTCAGACAAAGCTTGGTTCTTCTGGTCCGTGCATAGCCTCTCTGAAAGTGGTTTAGAGCTTAGTTCATCAAAGAGTCATGTGACTTGAAGTTTCTGCTCTTCTCATTATGACATGAAACACCTTTCCAGGGAATGGAAGAGTTGACCCCTTGTGCTCTCCCCCTTGGGTTGCTGTGACTGCTGAAGAAAATCACCAACAAGCCACGACTCCTGGTCTGAACCTTTGAGCACTGACACTAACACTAGGCACCTGCAGTTCTGACAATATATTTCTATTCATAAAGGGTTCTCGTGTCCTGGAAAATAGTGGCACTCTCAAACTCTTTACTGTTCCCGAATTCCTACCCTATCCTTCTTTAGATCTAAGACCACAATTAAAAGAGAGAAATCCATGGAGACAGATGTGTTCATACTGATCTTTCCTCCTTCCTGTTCATGTCAGACAAAGCTTGGTTCTTCTGGTCCGTGCATAGCCTCTCTGAAAGTGGTTTAGAGCTTAGTTCATCCCATTTCTCACACCATCATTATCCCTCCCCGCTGGAATCACCACCTCTCCCTCCCGACTGATTCGTTCAGCAAACCATGTGTGCTTCAATCTTCTCCATTTAGAAAAGGCATTTCCTGGAGCCCCCTGACCCATTTATCTACTTTCCATTCATCATTTTCTAACTTTTTCCCCATCAACATTTTAAAGCCCCGTTATGTAAATAAAACACTCTTATCAAGGCTACTGATGACTAAAGCCAACCCCAACCCACTGCCTTCCAGTAGATTCTGACTTACAGTGACCACATGGGACGAGATAGAATTGCCCCACAGGGCTTCCAAGATGGTAAGTGCTCATAGAAGCAGAGTGCCGCTTCTGCCCCCCATATCAATGGAGTGCTTTGACCACTAGGGCTCCTCATACTTAGCTACAAGTCCAATGGCATTTTTTTGTATTCATTTTTCTACTGAATACATCTCATTCATTTAAGTAATTGTCAAAGGAAATCCATAAGCTCCCGAAGTTTACACTGATTTTGAAACAAGTTTCACATGGCTTCTATTTACCACTTACTTTTTCCACTTAATATGGTTACTCTTTTATGGCTATTTTCCCTTACTCTATCTTTAATTAATGCTCCCAAGTGTTGGTTTGATAGATCGGCATCATGCCATGCTCTGCAGCAGGCTCTCCATCCTCTCTCGGTCTCTCCCCAGGGTCCCAGGCAGAGTTGACTGGTAAACGAACACTCCCGCCTCCAGATATGCTCCTCTCACAAGTAGAACAGGTGTTGGGCTTGGCTACCTCAGATTTGGGAAAGAGAAACCACCATCACCAAAAAGGAAGACCTTCTCCTTGACTCTGTCGTTGATAAATTTGGCAAAGGCCAAATGGTTGAACAGTTCCCAGCACGGCACCAATAGAAGGAGCGGTGAATGAGAAATTCCTGGGCGTGGTGGGAAGTAGCCTGAGTAACGTGAGTCATTCCCCCACCTCAGGAAAGTGGGAGATAGATTAAGATCTCTTCTCTGGCAGAGTCAGAGTGAGAGTGGGAGGGGTGGGGGTGGGGGTGGGGGAATTTGATGGCTTAGGGCCAGAACCTCTTTCAACACAAAGGGTGTCTTTGTACTAACTATAGAAGGACCCACAGGTGGCCTACAGACACGAGAAGAGCTGGAGATCAGGAGGCACCACAGAGATGCCAATCCAAACAGCAGAGAGATGGCTCCTCAGCAATAGCAGCAAAATCCCATAGAAAGCACTTCCTGCGGGGGAGAGGGGGGGAGAGGTCAGAATTCACTTAGACTGCTGGTGGCTTTATAAAATGGAAAAATATGGCACCTCCGTAAATAGCCGGAAATGGAAATATCCTATGATTTAGTCATACCCAGACTAGTGATAAATCCTCAAGAAATAAGAGCTGGGACACAGACAGATATATGAATACCCATGTTCACCACAGCATGATTCACAACAGCAAATAGATGGAGAAAACCTAAGCGCTCAAGACAGAAGACTGGATAAATGAACTATGAAACGTACCTACAAAGGAATGCTACAGAATAGTGAAGAATCCACAAAATACCCGTGACACGGATGCACCCAGAGGACATGGTACTGAGGGAAAGCAGTCAATTACCAAAAAGATAAAGAATGTATGAGACCATGATCATTAACAGTCAAGAAAAGGTTTATGGTACAGAGATATTCTTTGATGGTCGCCACGGGAGGACAAGAGGGTGATTCAGTCACTAGAGAGTCTCATTGCCATCGAGGGGATTCCAACTCGCAGAGACTACAGATCAGGGTAGAACTGGCCCCTTTGGGTTTTGAGAGGCAGCTAAAGCTTTGTGAGAGTGTAAAGAGTGGCATCTTTTCTCCCGAGGAGTGCTTGGTGACTTGATGTTAGCAATCCAATGCAGAGCTCACGATGCCACCAGGGCTTGAAAAGTAATGCAATGAACAATCCATCACAGGGAGGGCGGCACAGAATGACCGAGAGCCAGGAGTTTCTGGAGGTGGCAGCAGGACTCAGACAAGGCAATGGACAATAAAGGGGAAAACGGCGCAGAATGGCCATTACGCGTGCGTTTTTAGACGTCAAGGTGAGTAGGGCTGGCTTCCAACTCCCATTCACCTGCTCAGCTGAGTGCCATTGTGTGACACAGGTTCTAGACAGCTGCGCCCAGGCCTTTCTCAGTGCTGCTTCCGCTTCCTACCCACATTCACACTCCTTCAGCTCTGGTACCGATCAACACCTGGCATTTGGTATCGTGTTGATCTGGGAGGTCATTAATCTCTAGGAGACAATTACAAACAGGAGGAAGTAGAGGTGGGGTTGTTTCTCAGTAGAGGCACGTCTTCCCTCAATTCTACCTTTGATTGTGGTGAGTGACTCGCCCTCTTCCGTATTCACCATAGAGGCTTTAATCTTTACCACACTGATTTGCTTTCAGAGCTGCCCCCCTTTCTAGTGATTCTTGAAAGAATGCTAGAGGAGTGAAGAGAGACAGCGAGAGAGAGAGAGAGAGAGAGAGAGAGAGAGAGAGAGAGAGAGAGAGAGAAATCAGAGCTTTATAAAGAGATGATTAAACAAATGCATAAAACATTGGAAGGATGGGTAGCCTCACCCTAACCAAAGGCAACGAAAAGGATACATGTCAGCCTTTTAAGTGATCATAGAAGGAAATCCATTTTTCATTAATTTGAAGGCTAAATACATTTAGTTTCTAAAGTTATTGAATTTTATTGATTCTGATGAGCCATTTTTTGGGGGGGTTTAAATTCATGATCACCGTTTATTTCACTAAGGAGGGAAAACAACATCAATAAATTACCTCCTATCACCGATAGTAAGACATATCCTGATTTCAGAGGTATTTAGTTTCTAAAGTTATTGAATTTTATTTATTCTGATAAGCCATTTGGGGGGGAAGAGGTAAGATTCATAATTACCTTTTATTTCAAACCACAATCTTTCCTGCTATAATGAAATCCCATCATCCTGGCCAAAAATAGCATCTAATTACTCACTTGAAATGCCTAACTTCTCCTAAGACTTGCTCCCTGGCAATTTGATTCTAATCTTTCTGGATACTGACATTTAACCAAAGAGGGGTCAAGTGTGTGAGAACTGCAGTCCTGGGTATCACAGGAGCCATCCAGGAGATTCTAGTGAGGTAGAGCCGCAGCCTGGCTGCCTCACGTGGCATCCTGGCATTTTCTTGTGCAAGGCTGACATCTGCTGTGCGAATAAAGCCTGAGCAAAGTTTTGCATTTTAGAGTAAATCCAGTCCTTGGTAAGAAACATAGCTGTTGCACCAATTCTCCACATTTTCTATTTCTATTTGTTGGCCTAGCAGTTAAGTTCCGTTTTAAAATCGTGTAAGCTCCCTGAGTTTGAGATTAGCTTTAGAACGAGAGTTTACCTTCCGTGAGTCTTCAGTATTCTAAGATGAAAACCCTTTCGTTATGTTCAATCTTCGGTCTACTTCACAACCATTGTTTGTGATAGACCGACGGCCACAGCCACTCCCCCATCGAACCTGCTTTGTGGACGGGGAGAGAAAGCGATGTTTCTCAAGCCCCACCTACAGAAAGGAACTCAGAGTCTGGATGGATGGGGCCTTACGTGCATCAGAGTCTGCCTTTAGTTTTATGATGTGAACTGGCTCTTACCTAGATAAACACCAGCGCTAGGCTATAGATGCTAAATTGATCAACTCTCGTCTGCCACAGAACTTTTATAACAATGCTCCTCAAACGTCAGCGTGCATGTAAATCACCCAAAGAGCTTGATAAAATTCCGGTTCAGTAGGTTTGGGTTCGGCTAGGGGCTAAGATTCTACTTTTCTCGCAAAATCTGAGACTGCTCACGCCCCACCTGGAGTGTTAAAGGTTCCCCAGACTGTTACTCAGAATGACTATTCTCATCCTGTGATCCCTACATCAGCAATATGAACATCACCTGGGAACTCGTTAAAATGCAAATTCTCAGGCACTTCCCAGACCTACTTAGTGGTTTGGGCCCAATCATCAGTAGTTCCACAGGCCCCTCAGGTGATTCTGTTGGGTGCTAAAGTCTGGAAACCACAGATTTAGGGAAGCATTTATCCAATTACTTGGGGAGAATAAAAAAAAAAAAAATCCACCACGATTTTCCAACCAAGATAAGATCAAGTAAATCAGAAAAGCTCTGGTCATGATATCCTTCATTAAGAGCATTAAAAAAAAAATCACCAGGTGAGGTATTAAGCAGCCAGAGGACCATTACCTTAGGGAGGATCTCTCTGGATGGTGCAGATGCTTAATGAGTTTGGGTGCTAACCCAAAGGCTCAAGGTTTGAATCCATTCAGAGAAAAAAGCTTCGAGTATACAGTTCTTCTCGGATACAGGTGAGGTTGGCAGGAGTTGGATTGACTTGACAGGGACTGGTTTAGTTTACTGGTTACCCTAGAGAGACTCCCACTTACTTCTTGGGTCTTTGCCAGCAGATAGTTGGTAGAGGCCGGCGTATCTCCATCTGTTGGGCCAGGAGCTTTCCTCCTCCTCATTGTTGCTTTGCACCTGTAACCAAAATACCAGTGGTGATATGTGAGTCAGTGTGCGGGAAGCAAGGACAGGTGCAGGATGGGGGAAGGAGGCTGAGGGTACTTGAAAGATGTGGACTCTTCTGTAGTGGTGGGGACCTGAGTAAAGGAAATAGCAGGTGACGTGCAGCTCTTATACAATGGGAGATGGCACCTATGCAAATTTTATCACAAATAATCAGTTTCTGTTGGTGGCAAGAGTTTGAGAGGTTTTTTTTAAAAACAAGGGACTCCAGCATTTAATGGCAGTACCTACCATCCATGCACCTGGGTGAGAGGAACCCTGAGTTTTATAGCACCTATGGGGTGAAGAGTTGATAGAGCTCGGTACTGTGCCCCAACCCCCCCACCATTAGTACCATATTCCCTCTTCTAGGTCATGTTCTGGTTGCAGAAAGCATCAAAACATGCTGCCCACGGTTCCTCAAGCTGGTTTCAGGGACCCTGAACTGATTGTACCTGATGTCCCTTCTCCTAAAGATAGACTTCTCCACTAGTGTATGCACTCACCCCCTAGATCTGAGAGATGGCCAATGAATAGTTGTTGGTGTTTGGTGTGGTGTTGGTGCAGTGGTGGTGATGACAGTGGGGCTGTGGAGTTTGTTTGGTGTGGTGTTGGTGCAGTGGTGGTGATGACAGTGGGGCTGTGGAGTTCAGCTCTGCAGGCTCTGCATTCACTTGTGTGGGTCTGGGTGAGGTAAGCAAAGGGGGCAGGCCGGGGCCTGCAAGTGGCTTTGCTCACATTGCCATGCACAGAGAAGTCTTATGAATTCTGGATCTCGGCTAGATCAGAGCATGTACACAGGTACAGACCAGAGCTGGAAACACAAGGAGTCCAAGACAGATAAACCCCTCAGGACCAATAAGGAGAGTAGCGATACCAGGAGAGGAAGGTGAAGGTGTGGTGGAAAGGGGGAACCAATCATGAGAATCTACATATATACCCCTCCCTGGGGAATGGATAACAGAAAAGTGGGCGAAGTGAGACATTGGACAGTGTAAGACATGAAATAATAATAATCATTTGTAAATTATCAAGGGTTTGTGAGGGAGGGAGGGAAAAAATGAGGAGCTGATACCAAGGGCTCAAGTAGTAAGAAAATATTTTGAGAATGATGATGGCAACAAATGTACAGATGTGCTTGACAAAATGGATGTATGTATGGATTGTGATGAGTCGTATGAGCCCCCAATAAAATGATTAAAAAAAAAGAATTCTGGATCTGAACTTCTGCTTCCATATCTTTATGCATACCTATAATAAGATTGGAAAGGACATATTTTATTTCACTTTCTTGTAAAACTGACCTTCATTAAATACTCTTGTGAAAATCCCACAAATGAGACAGACAGCTAAGTGTGAGGCAAGCTTTCAATTTAGATCAGATTGGATGAAGAATTGGAAAAGTAGCTTTGGAAGTCTGGGCTGTCTTATGGATCAGGGGCCATGTCTCCCCCACCCCCAATATTAATTAACCCAAACTGTCACTCAAAAATCACTGCCATGAGTTAATTCTGACTGATAGTGGTCCTATAGGACAGGGTAGAATTGCCCCTGTTAGTTTCCAAGGCTGTAACTCTTTAAGGGAGTAGAAAGTCTCATCTTTCTCCTGAGGAGTGCCTGGTAGTTTCAAACTTCCAATCTTGTGGTTAGCAGCCCAATGTGTAACCACTACACCAGCAGGACTCTTCCAAAATATTTCTGAATTTAATCCAAGAAGTAGTATGTCAGGTAAGGACAGGGAGCCTATGTTCCCTTTCCCCCAATGTTCTAACCTTTCATCTCTAAGATCTTTCTCTCTCAATCTCTCCCTCACCTCCCACCCACTCACCTCTTCCAGATCGAAAGAGTCCTGCAGTTGCTGGGGTAGAGATCGGTGAAGGTCTGGCGTGTCTAGGCTGTGTCTCCATTTCTGCTGGATGATGGACAAGTCCAATGATTTGACCTTCCTGACATCTTTGACCATGGCATTCTTTTGAAACAGACTCTTTCTGGCTGTGTTCTTCCTTTTCCAGAAATGGTCCTCTTTGGCTGAATGCGCGTCCTTACTGGGGGTCTGTAGGCTCCACAGCTCTCTCCTGGCCTGTGCTAGGTCTTTGTGCCAGTGCTGAGAGGTTGACAGAGAACGTGTGTAACAGGATGTTTCAAGATTAGAATCCAGTGTTCTTGATGCTGTGAGCACTGCAGGCAACTTCATATCCCTGATGGAGGGTACAGGCTCTTCCAGTGGGCCGGGCCCAAACTCAGGGTCTTCCTGGAGTCCCAGCTTCTCTCCTCTCACTTTGTCCATCACTTCCCACACCACTTGGTCCAAACTGTTCCTTTTGGGGGAGTTATGAGGTGGCGATAGCTGATTTCGGGGGCTTGTGTACAGGCACATTTTAGAGATGGCTTTCCGGAGACGATCTCTGGGTGATTGGGGTTCAGGCTCTGGGCTCATAATCTTAATAAATGGTACATCAGTTGGGTTGCCATTCCAAATCATGTGGGATGGTGTGAATTTTTGAACAGGAGTCTTGGATACGTAAGAGTAGAGACAGAAGAAGGCATCAGCAGTGACAGCCAGTGTTTGCACCTGCTTAAACCTGCCTGAGGACAAGGGTTGAAGGTGATTAGTCTGGCCAGCATCAGCAAAGAATCTCTTAAAAGTCTCCCTTCAAGAATCTTCCTAACTCACAATTTAGAGAGAAGCTGTTCATTTCCTTCTGAATGTATCTCCCATCTAGATAGTTGATACCCAGAGTCTCTCAGGCCAGCTTTTGGAAGTCTGGACCATCTTAAGAATCAGAACCCATGTCTGTTTCCTGATACCAATAAACCCACTCCCCAACATTTCCGATTTTAATCTAAGAAGCAGTATGTCTGGCAAGGCTCTGTAACCCTAGTAGCTATTTTACTGTAGTAACAAGATCAATTCCATGTGGCATAAGAAATGATTTTCTCTTGTTAGAGGCACCCACCTATATTTTAGTTATAGGAGTACCAGAAAACTAAGACAAATGTTTATTTTTAAAAGATTAATATATGACTAAATCATACACTAATAGTGTTTTTTCTTTGCATGCTTTCTAATGGAAAGACACTTTCTAATACCATTGTGAGTTATAGTAAAGTTATACAAAATTCTCAATTAATTTCTAGGGCCACATGTTAGTCACCAAACCACTAAAGCTATAAAAGCTGTTAAAAATGATGATCTCCAGGTCTGAATTTAACAAAGCATTGCTTCCATCAGGGTGTATATTCTAAGTATATCTGGTTTAGATGACAACGATGCAAAGGGCAAAACCAAGATCAATTTCCTGGACCATGACAAGAATGAGAGGGCTTCAAAAAGTTCTTGGGAAAATGGAATTAAAAGATGATAGAACTTTTCTGTGACCTTTCCGAAGCTTACTTGTACTTAAAGTTATTAAAGACTTCCTAATAGAAACAACTTCTTGGAGATAGCCATGGCTAGGCAATGGGCTGGGTAGAGAGAGGGAGATGGATCCTATCTGTTCTGGAACCACTGACCGGATAGTGTCTTTGGCTGTTAACAAAAATATTGGCAGCTCAAGTTCACTCAGAGGCACTTCCGAAGAAAAGCCTCGTGATTTACTTCCAGAAACCAGTCATTGAGAACCCTATGGCGCACATTTTCACTCTGACACACCCAGGGTTGTCATGAATTAGAATCAAGTCTATGGCAACTTTTAAAATTTATCATTAATCATTTTATTGGGAGGGGATCTCACAAATCTTCTAACAATCCATCATTCACTTGTATTAAGCACACTTGTACATACATTGTCTACAGCAACTTTTAAGTTGGTAATTAATATCAGTTCTATGAGACTTTTGTTTCCTCAAATGGTATCACCTGGGAGTTTGTTATAAACCCCGACTCTCAGTCTGCACGTCAATCACTCTAACAATATGCCTTGGTGATTCATAGGTATATACATGCTTAAGAAACATGACTCACTGCTATCGAGTTGATGCTGACTAATAGTGATCCTACAGGACAGGGGAGAACTGTAGAACTGCCCCCTGGGAGTTTCCAAGGCTGGAACCCTTTAGAGGAATAGAATGCCTTGTCTTTCTTCTTCTGAGGCTGGTGGTTTCAAACTGCTGACTTTGTGGCTCTCAGATCAACAAGGAACCCATATGCCATCAAGGCTCTGTAAACCATAAACAAAACCCAAACGCACTGCTGTTGAGTCTGATTCACAGTGACTCCATAGGACAGGGTAGACTGCCTCGTAGGCAGCGGTGGGATTTAGCTGGTTCTCACCGGTTCAGAAGAACAGCTACTTAATATTTTGTTGAGTTCAGGCAACCAGTTATTACAATGGCACTTGTAATCAGGGTTCTCTCTAATGTGGAGGTCACAAATTTACATTCCTTCCTCTTTTTTAATATTCATCTATGCAACAGTGGTGTTCCGAGATCATATTGAAATAATAAACTACCATTCAGTTTATCATTAAAAAAAAGTATTTATAATGATCATTAGGGCTGAGAATTGGTTGTTAAATTGTTTGAATCCCACATGGGTCATAGGGGTTTCAAGCCTTTGCAGAAGCAGTCTTCTGTATCTTTATCCCACAGAGGGGTTGGTGCGTTCTAACCACCGTTTTGGTTAGCAGCTGAGCACTTTAACCACTATGCCACCAGGAATCCTTGCAAGAAACCATAGGTACATATAATTGTAAGCTCACCCAAAACAAGAAACATGTTTCTGTGATCTACCTCCAATTATGCTAGAGTCTAATATATAATCATATACCTGGCACATAACCTAAAACCAATAAATCATTATCAAATTTTAATGTGCACAAAAATAATCTGAAAGGAATGTAAAAAGACTCCCACTCTGTTCTTGATTCAGTAGATTGAACTCAGGATCTAGCTTTACTAAGCCTTGAAGGTGAATCTAAAGCAAAGAATCTGAAACAGCACTATCAGAAATAGCCCTCAGGTTGAGGGTGAAGCACAATATAATTTAAAATATACTCAAATACACAGTATTAGGTAGGAACTTCTCTTTCAGTAGAAGGGCAGAGGGTTTCCCCCATGTTAGTGCAGTATGAAATTGGGAAAACTTCAATCATTGTTTCCCTAGGTACAATATGAAGATTACATGAAAGAATCCTCTGAGTGTTTGTTTAAATGAACATTCCTGAGATTCCCCGCTCTCTGGAAGTAAAGCCTAGGAATATACGCTCATTATAAACTTCTTGGATGACTTAATATATGCAGCCTTGAGAAACACTGTGCCATGTAGAAGTGGTTTTAATGTCATAGCAATAAAGGGAGACCATTCTGTGGTGCCAACTGAGAAATAAAACAAAGCATTAAAAAAACCACACAAAATTTAAAGAGATTGTGCGGATTTGATACAGCTAAAGGAGAGAAGGCCTATGGGTATCAATCGTGATCTGAAGTTTCTAGAATGAAGCAGATCCCAAAGTTATCCATCTTTACTGAAGATAAAATACAAGTAAATAGACCCAACAGACAAATGGTTGAGTGTAGCAAACAAGAGAAAGTAAGATTTGGAGACACTGAGCCCTGCTGGAGTCCCCGGATGGTGCTAACAGTTAATCCACTCCGTAGCTAAGTGGAAAGTTGGGCATTCAAGTCCACCAGAGGCACTCAGAAGAAGAGGCTGATGATCGACTTCTGAAAAAAAAACAGCTCCTGAAAGCCCTAAGGAGCACAATTCAGCTCCAACACACACGTGGCCCCTATGAGTTGGCATGAACTTGGCTTCGGTGAAAGTCTTGAAGCTGGGAGAGAAGTGGAGCCTGGATAACACTCACTTGCCAGCATTAGGCATGGGTCCTCCATTTCAATCCTCCGCACCTGGGCCTTCAGGAAGAGCTGGAAATCAATGCCCTTGGCCTTTGAGGGGGTGGTGAAAAATCGAGCAGGGATCCGAGAAGTGTCTTTGTGGACCTCTTGACCAAAGCCCAGGTTGAAGAGAACATCTTCGGCATCTTCTTGCACCTTGTCTAAAATCTCTGAAATGCTGAAAAAAGAGGAACTTTTGTAACGAGGGAACAACTTTGAGATACTGGGTCAGCCAGAATATCTAATAAAAATGCTGAGAGGTAAATTCCTTCCTGGCCCTTTCTCTATACTTTTCCTGGAGGAAATCATTAACTTCTCAGAACATAAATTCTCTCTATGAAATATGAAGATTTCACTCCAAACTGGGCTATAAAGTTGGAAGGAGATTCCAGTACATAGTTCTGAACAATTTATTATAGAGAAATTAAATATAAGAGGGGGTTTGAAAAACAAAACAGAAAAGCAGTATAAATGCAAAGAAATTTTGTGCTTGCTGTTAATTAACCAGGCAGTTCTCGTTCGCACACAGTCACACACAGTGGACACTCATGCTTTTAAGGCACATTCAGCTGCTGGCACGTGCTCTGAAACTTGCCAGTGGGCTTTCTGCAGTTGGTGTGTGTAACAACCTGTCGGTGAATGCATATGGGACATGCAATTCAATGTATTCTCTACCTGAGGTAATAATCAATCAAGAGAGGTATGTTGAGAACCTGAGTTTGAGGCCCCTTTGTAGCCCCCTTTTCAGGACAGAATCCTGGGTTGCAAAAGAGGAAGCACTCGCTCTTGCGATGGCACTACCGCGTGCCACATCTGGATCTGACCTCTAAGCTCAGGTTCAACAGCCATGCGTGACAGATGACGGCAGCGGGAGGAGCTGTGGCTTATTGGAGGAGTTTGAATAATCTCTCTTCGGAAAAGGTCTTTGGCTTTTCTGTCCACAGAGGGACCATCCTATTTAGGTAATAGCCAGACAGTCAGGATGCCTGGCTCTCCTCTTGTGCTTGCCACCAAAGTGCTGATTTTACTTCCAGGGTCCTATGTTGCCTTATCTGTGAATTCTGGGCATTGGACGGCATCAGGGGTTCTCAGTGATGGTTGCACATTAAAATCATTTCAAGGAGTGGACTTGAAAAAGTACAGGTACTTAAGTCTCACTCCAGAGATCGTCTCGCACTGGGTTGAATTCAGTGGTTCTCAACCTTCCTAATGCCACAACCCTTTAATATAGTTCCTCATGTTGTGGTGACCCCCCACCCCCCCGAACCATAAAATTATTTTCATTGCTACTTCATCACTGTAATTTTTCTAATGTTATGAATTGGGTGACCCCTGTGAAAGGATTGTTCAACCCCTAAAGGGGTCGCAACCCACAGGTTGAGAACCACTGCTTTAATTGATTGGGGTAGTATCAGGGCTAAGACTCAGTAAGGATAAATGACTAAACACAGTTATTTGTCTGATAACATTCGGAACCTAGTCTCAGGTTCACACTTTGACTGGAAATCTTGGCTGGCCACTTTTCATTATACCATAGGGGCCTTTATTATTTTCCATCTTATTTTAGAATTCTCCGTATGTACATGTTGTCCACCTATCAGATGGTTGTGCTCCTAGTATTGGCTCTTTGTTTCCTTCTTCTTTCTTCTCAAATCCCATGCAATCATTGCCCGGCTCTCACTATAGTTTCCAAAAGTGCATGAAGACCTGCGTATTTCATTGCTTCACACAATCAACAAATCACTCAATATACTTTTTTAGTGAGCACTAACTATACGTTGAGGAACTGCTATGCTACCCACACTTCACCTTCTGCACTCCAAGGTGCAGTTGACAGAGTGGCCCATGTTTTATAGTGTCCATTTTGAGCAGTGGATTTCTCTGTATTCCCACTATTTTTAAAGCAAACGTGGTTACACTTCTTGTGTATGGGACTGCATGAAAGGTTTGAATAGGATATCCCAGGGAAAAGAGGCAATCACTCTAGTTTTCATTCTCCTCCGTACCTCCTTTCCCTACCCCCCCGAGACCCTTCTATAAGGGGATGTCCAGTGGCCTACAAATGGGCTTTGGGTCTCCACTCTGCACTCCCCCCCCCCGCTAATCTTAGGACCTACCTTGAACTGGTCTTATTGGTTCCACTAGTCATGCTGCTGGAGGCTAAACTGCAGCCAAGATCAAGTAGCTGGCAGGGCCGGCCTGTCTCCAGGAAACTCCTGCAGGGATCAGAGCTGGTAATCACATAAATCTTATAACTGGTCAGCACTTTGGCTTCAAGACATCCTCTATTGAGCATATTTATCCCCTAACAAATACCTCCACCACTTACTTGTCTGTCAGTTTGCTATACTGTGGTGGCTTGTGGGTTGCTGTGACACTAGAAGCTATGTCACTGGTACTTCAAACCCCAACAGGGTTACCCAAAGTGAATAGGTTTCAGCAGCACGTTCAGACTAAGAACAGGCTACACAGAAGGAATTGGCTGTTCATTTTGGAGGAATTAGCCATTAAACACCTTAGGTATAGCGTCAACACATCGTCAGATAGTGAAAGCCTAAAGAATAGAAGCAGAAGACTGTCAGAGATAATGCCGGAAGGAAATACCCCCAAGTCAGAAGACACTCAAAATAGGATTGAAGAAGAGCTGCTTTCAAAAAGGAAAGTCGACCATGATGATGCGGATGGAGAAAAGCCTATGAGAGCAAAGCCTTCAGGACCTTCATCTGCTGATGTTGCACGACTCAGAATGAGAAGAAAGAACAACAACAATCTACTAATAATTGGAACTTGGAATATATGAAATATAAATCTAGGGAAATTGGAAGTCATCAAAAATGAAATGAAACGAATAAAGATCAACGTTCTACACGTTAGTGAACTGAAGTGGACTGATATTGGTCATTTTGAATCAGAAAATTATATGGTTCACTGACGAGCTGGGACTGATACACTCAAGAGGAATAGTTTGGCATTTACTGTCAAAAAGGACATTTCAAGGCCTATCCTGAAGTGTAATGCTGTCTATGATAGGATAACAGCTATCCATAAACAAATAAATACAGTCAATGCAACTGCTATTCATATTTATGCACCAACCATCAAAGCTGGTGATGAAGAAATACAAAGGTTCTGCCGATGTCTTCAGTGTGAAATTAAAAAAAAAAAGTAGTAGGAACAGTATTTGGGAAAAATATAGCCTTCATGTTAGAAATGTAGCTGGAGACCACATGATAGAATTTTGCAAGACCAGTGACTTCTTAATTGCAAATACTCTTTTCCAACAACACAAAAATACACATAGACTTCTCCAGGTGGAATGCACAAAAATCAAATTGATTACATCTGTGAGAAAAGGTGATGGAGAAATTCTATATCGGCAGCTAAAATGGGGCAATGGGCTGACTGTGAAACAGACCATCAATTGCTCATTTGTAATTTCAAGTTGAAGTGGAAGACTTTTTTTAAAAAATACCACTTTGAGTTGAATTTCGAGAATATCTCAAGAACAGATTTTCTGCATTAAGCACTAATGACAGGAGACCTGATGAGCTGTGGGAGGACTTCAAGAACATGACTCATGGAGAAAGCAAAAGCTAATGAAAAAGACAAGAAAGAAAAGATCAACGTAGATGTCAGAAGAGACTCTGAAACGTGCTCTTAGTCATGGAGTAGCACATGGAAAAAATGATGAAGTCAAAGAGCTGAACAGAAAATTTCAGAAGTGAGCCTGAGAAGATAAAATCAAACTTTATAATGGAATGTGCAAAGACCTAGAGTTAGGAAACCCAAAAGGAAGAACATGTTCACCCTAACTTAAACTGAAAGAACTCAAGAAAAATTCAAGCCTTGAGTTGCAATATTGAAAGCTTCTTGGGCAAAATACTGAATGATGCATCCATCCTCAAAAGAAGATGGAGAGAACACACCAAATCATTGTACCAAAAAGAACTAGTGTGCATGCAACCATTTCAGAAGGCAGCACACAA